CGGGCGGTTGCCTTTCAGTAGCCGTTGGTTCTTCCAATGTGGGTAAATATCTCGTGCGAACCGACGCGCTGACTCGCTGATGGTCTCATCGAACTCGGCCTCGAGTTCCTCGTAAGAAAGAACAGGCGAGTTGTCGACGGCTGCATACGGTTGTTTTATCGCGGTGGTCTCTTCGAAGAAGTTGATCACCTCTTCAAACTCGTCTTCTGAGCAGTGGTTGGTTTTGCCCTTCTTTTGGTTGTAAGACTTGAGAAAGGCGACATCATCACTGGTCATGCAATACGGACAGCCAGATGTATCTTCGACGGTAGACGAAAATCGAATGTAAGTGGCGGGCTGCGTGAATCGTTTTGGATAGACATCTTCATACTGCAGTGTACTCGCGACAGCATCCGGAGTCGGGATGTAGAGCTGTGCGATCTTCCCACCAGTCGCTCCCTGCGCTGCTGCCTGGGCGGCGGATATGACAGCTTGTAAATGGTGCTCCTGAAGATGATGTTAGTATGTGGTGGGTAAGGGAAAGGGAAAGCCGAAAGCGGCCTAGCGCGACTTACAATCTCCTCGCCCTTCTCAACACCGGTCTCAACCTTGGGAATATGGCGCGACGCATCGTCATCAGCAAGCTGCTCAACATCTTGTTCGCGCACGACAGGTAAATTCTGTTTTGTCGATAGCTTGCGCTGTCTGAAGCGTTGTCCGGTCGCGCGAGCCGTCATTGTTGTTTGTCGTTATGCACGTGACGACGGTTTGGGCTGCGTATGGGGCTTTGGTTGCAAATCTGGCGCCGGGGGCCAGCCAGCGAAGAGAGGAGTCACGCTCCCAGAAGCGCGATCCGACCACCAACGCGTCGCAATATTGTCGATATGGGTGTCAAAAGTGTCGCACGGACTTCCGCATGCGTTTTATCGCGTCGAAAGTGATGAAATGAGGTGTTGGGGTGCTGTTTGGCGATGGAAAAGGTTTAGGTGGGCGGCGATGTCGAGCGTGTTCAGCGGATGCGTTGGGGCGGCTTTTTTGGCAAGGAAGTTGCGCACGCAATGGACCAATCATAAGAGAGATCGCCGAGGATAGGTGGAACCTGCGCGATCGTCTTCTGCCCATCGTGCACACTTAGAAGTAGCTGCACATCTTCATATTCATTGTCTCCGAAGCAGCAACTGCAGAAAGAAACGCAGCATGCGTACGTGTTTGCATTTAATGTTACTGCGTTCCATGGTTCTGCGTGGAAGGAAGTCCGGATGGCGTTAGCTCGCCTTGGCATGACGCCTGCGGTGACTTCCAGCATCCACGCCATCACCATAACAACACCTGCACCAGCGGATTGCTCGTTTCTAGCCAGCGCTTACAGACGTGTAACGCTTCTCAGTTGCGCAGTTTGCCTGCTCTGTACATCCAAATGGAATGCTTTGAAGCCATTCCAACATCCTTCAACATCCTCGGATACTGACGGACTACTACTACCGGAAAAGCACGCAATCTCATCAAGACTTAAGTATGATGCCACTTTACGTGCGAATATCTTCAGTGGTATGCATACAGTATGACTAGGTCCGCTAGGAAGTGACACCCAATGTGAGGCTTCTTCCACGCTGTACGGCTGAGTCTACACCTACTGCGTATTCGCTGTTTATACTTATTTATCTCACGCATCAGCCCTGACAAGACGACGTGCGAATCACACGTATCCTGTCCTCTATTCTCCAAACTGGCGTTTTTATTTCTTGGATTGGCCCGATGCTCAAGACAGTACCATTCGTCTCGCCTTGCCTCTACTAATCAATCTTCACTGGGAGAGGGTATCCCGTCATGTTGTATCCCGACTCATATCTCACACTCTTACGGCTCCATTCCTCGTCCACATATACTAAGCGAATTCTATACATCCAAGCGGGCCAATTCTCAAGATACCCGTGACGCATCGGCGTTGTTGCAGTCTGTCTTCTCGTTCGGAACGCCTCGGAATGTTCGGAATGTGCTTCCATTAATAGGGCTTGGGGCCTACGTGCATCACAGCAACCGCGCCGCAACCGCGCCCCCAACAATATACGCTCAGCTCGCTGTCACTCTGCCCCCATTCCCTCGACGTCTACCTCCAACTACACACCTGTCCACAAATCGAACACGCGCGGAAAATACGGCAATCTCAGTCAGCCTATTGAAGTCGCTAGCTTGGCATGGATCGGTTGCCGCAAGAACTCGTCGAGGAAATCACCAAAAACTTGCCCACGGACGATCTCAAGAACGTTCTAACTGTCTCCACAAAGTTTCGTTTTGCCTCGGAGAGATATTCTGGCGCTTTCACAAAGTTTACCCTAAATGAGCGTAACGCGGACAAGTTCCTTGGGCTTTACTCAGGACACCGGCTGCTTTACTTGCGGGAATTGCACTTTCGGCCCAAATTCCCTCCGATTTGGCCCCCCGACCCCTGGCCCTGGGAAGACGAGATGTGTCGCGAAAACGCCGATGCAATCAGAGCCAAAAATGAGTGCTTCACGCGTCAGGTCCATTCGCTGTTCACAACGCTCAGTACTGTTGAGGAGAATGCTGCACCCCAGCATGCCTCTGGTCGATATCGAATCCAGATACACGATCCCTCCAGGCTGATTCATGTGGAGATATACTGTCCTCACCAGGAATACATCAGTTGGCGCATTCGTCTGCTCAGTACGGAGCTTCCCCTGGTACATTCAGTTCGTTCGCTGGAGATTTGCAACGAATGCCCAGAAGACGCGAGTGTTTACCACGATAGTCACGGTTATCCTGCAAATTACAGAAAGTGTTTCGATGGTGGATTGTTCAAACTGGACTTGGGGGTCATGGTCGATCTGGTATCGAAGCTTCCAAACCTGGAGTATCTCGGCTGCAAGACAGGAGGGTTCGAATGGGCTCCTGCATTTTCAGGTAATGATGGTAGTGAAGACCCCAACAGACACTTCCAAAGCGATTGGGATGGCCCACGTCGTGACGCGAGGCACAATTTCGCACACGCTGTCATCTCTCACCAAGCCCAGCTTCCGACCTCGCTTCAGCGGGCGAGCCTGGATTTCGTCAGCCCGCTGATACGCGCACTTGACACTATTCAAGACAGGCCTTTACCTAATCTAGTCGGTCCAGCTCTGCGCGACCCATTCAGCGCCAGCCTTCGTATCCTGACCAATAATCTGCGCCAACTGCGCCTGTGGGCGATTGTTGATGAAAGCCTGTTCAGCATGGACGATAATTCACAGCCGCAATGGCCCAATCTGGAAATTCTGGAAGTCATGTTCCACCCGTCGCGGCCTGACGGATCGTGGTACTTCGTCGGACCTCAAGGCCACGGCCGCGAGGCTGTCGGTTACGACATCACCGCTGCCTCGTACCCCCCTCTTGAAACGACCGAGCTCGACATTGATATGGAAGAGCTTGTAACCTCCGGGCATCTCTCCAACTTACCCAATGGCGCGCAAAATCAGTTTCGTATCACACCAGATGAAGCAAGACTGAGGCCGCTCCTAGCAGGATTTTCCAGGGCAGCAGCGCAAATGTGCTCTTTGAGGAGAGCTATCATTTGGACATCGCTGAATTGGTATCCGAAATATGACTACGCAGAGTCCCAAGGCTGGGACTCGGAATATCAACGACCTGGGTCTAACTGGGAGTCTAACTGGGCTATACAATATTCCGATCAAGACAATGGTATCTGGGGATCACCATCGCACTATCTCCCAAGTCAACAAAGAAACGACGATCCAACGATACGTTGCCTAGTGTGGATGGTGGCAGCATGGCGTCCAGATGCGGAGCTGCACCGTCTTTTCCAGAACATTGGGCGAGAGAAGCACGGTAATGATCTGGTCGAGCACTGGGGGGAGGGGTACAGATCTTCCAACTACAGCAATCTCCGCAATTGGATGCTTGATGATCACCAGGGCGACCCAGGCCGCATTACTCCTTCGTTGTCGTAGCATTTGAACTACGAGAAAAGCATGCGAGCAGAATGAACGAATGTTGCTGTTAGTGCCATGTAGATGCAGAGCTCACGTTCCAGATTCAAGATCTTTCGTTGTTCTTATCTCTGGTGACGTCGGTGACGCCGGTAAAGTGTGATTCCGTGTAAGATCGAGGCGGAGCTATCGACGAGCAGCCTTCGTGAGCGGCGTTTGCGATCCGCGACAATGCCGCAATCTGAGTGACACCATTACTGGCGACGTGGTCGCATTGGTGGTTGTTTCACTGGAAATAAACGACGTTTCGGTGTCCGATTCTAACAATGGTGGGGCTGAATTACCTCTCCATCGTAAGCCTTGCAAGTCCTTGGCAGCGCGTAATCCTCTCGGCTCTGCTTAATCCGGCACGACCAAAAGATACCACTAATGTCGTCCGGAAAGCGGCACTGCGTTACCTGGTGAAGCCTTCGACTATCTCGCTCAGGCCTGAATGTGCCGCCCATTCGAAATACATCGTATCTGGCCTGGCTTTCTCTAGCAATCGGTTCTCGAGTTCGTCGATTTGCAAGAGTCCATCTCGTCGCCCACTCGCATCTCGATGGAATCTTGCCATGGCTCTATCATGACGTATACTTCGACTGTGCCATGCATTCAGGAGTCTGTCAGCTTTATCTAACATCAAGCGGCACAGCGGAACTGGGTTGTATGAGTCTCTGCCACGACAACCATGTTCTGGGGCTAAGATGTTCCTTCAGGAATGGGAAGCTTACAGCAGTCGTTATACCTCATGTACCGTCGCATTTTTGAACGGCAATGTTCACTGAGCCTCAGAGGCACAGGCTGCCGGGTCCAAAATGACAGCTCATCGACATTCCGAATAGCCAGACCTCACGGCGTGGTTGTATCAGACTGCTTCATGCTAATAGTAGATTTTGGGGGCGTACTTCCCAAGTGTACTCAAGACCAGAATCGATATGAGTATATAGGACTAGGGTTGAACGCGCAAGAGACAGCCATCCAAACTGTACCTCACCATCTTTATTCATTTGTGTCTTTGCTGTACCACGATCCAACATGAAGGCTTCCCTCGGTCTGTTGGCCGGCCTGACGGCATGCGTTCTCGCGGAAAATTGCGATCCCATCGCATACGAGCAGTCCAATCCATACGGCTTAGCAGAGACAAAGGACCCCAAAGTCGTGGAGAAGCTGGACGAATACCTATCGGACACTAGATGCCACATGAGATCCGACGGGATCGAGGATGATGTGAAGGAGCAGTGCAAGAACGTATGCATCCCAGGTGACAGCACAGCAGAGGGCCAGATTGTTGTGTCTTCTCAAAGTTGTATCTTTGGTGACAACCCCTGGTACCCGTTAGGTGGATTGCATCCCCTCCTGTGCGGTGAAGACAAAACGTACAATGGTATGTCTCTATAGGCATATGCCTCTAATGTAACATAGAAATGCAAGACTAACTTTCAACGTAGGTTTGATGATTAAGTCAGGCCACTGCGCTTGTGATCTCCCAATTCTGGAATTCGCGGGTGAATTCTTCATCGAAGGACTCGCCGAAGCTGGCAAAATCCTTGAAAAGGTTCTTTGTCCCGCGTTGAAAGCCCTCGACGTAGTAATGGCCATTGGGATGGCAGCACTTCCCCCACCAGGACGAGCCATCACAGGTGGAATGGGTAAGCGAGAATAATCTCTTTTGTTTAGTAGCAGACGCTAACAGATGATCGTAGTGGCCGCTATCCGATCAGCGAAGGCGTACAAGTACGCCCATGAAGCGCAAGACGCTGCGCAAGAGTGGGCCGACTTCTTCCTCAGTGGTGCGGACTTTGCGGGACAAGCAGGTTGCGACTCGCCGGTACCAAGCAGGGACGAATTGATCAAGAAGGCCTTTACTCCTCTGGTCGATGCCCCGGACGAGCTTGTCCCGGGTGGGATGAACTACGATGACCTACCATGTCCTGCGAAAGGCTGCAAAGGGTGCAAAGGTCCACGCTGCACGAGAAACGGCGGGAACGGAGACGGAGATACGACCAAGGCTAGTGCCAAACCAGCTCCGACCACCGCAAGCGACCATCTTAGCAGCAAAATCTCACCGGCGGAAACGACTGTCTCTCCCAAGACTTCTTCAACTTCCGCGTCGTCTTCTCCAACCGCGTCTTCGGCTCCGTCGCCAGTGTCTTCGACTACTCCGCCAGTCACATCGACAACGCTTGTTTCGTCCACTTTGTCGTCCTCCTCTTCAAGAGCAACTTCCTCCCTGTCCTGCAAAGATTTGGCAGCGCTAGACAAAGATGAAGTCGTAGATGAAGCTGGTATATTACCACGAAGCTATCCGATCGACCTGAGATATCGTGGGCTCGAGAAGCGCGATCGTAAGCGCGGTACCGCTTGTGACTACAGCCTACAGAGTTACCTGTACCCAAGCAGGGGGAGTTGGGGAGATCAACTACCCAAAAGATATGGATTCAACGAACGGGATTCTTGCAACGACTACAGTATGGACAAGCCAGACGACAGTGCAAATGTCCTTTATGAGACTGAGCACGTCCTGGAATGGCAAACGGTTGTCGAGTTCTTCAATACCGTGGGCAAAGAAATCGAAACCAAATACCATCATCCTAATCCCACGACAAACGAGATGGTCGGTTTCTGCAAGTACTGGAGTGAGCACTGGACTTACAAACTCAATCTTATTGACGGTCCATCTGCCGATCCAGCTGTGTCCCCCGATGCAGACGCTGCCCCTGACCCAACCGATATCACCGGCCTAAGTACCGGACAACTTGTTCCTGTTCATTGGCTAGCGATTGTGTATCCATACCGAGAAGGTGGCGAGGAGAAATGGTTAGAGGAAATGCCACTGCTGGAAAAGCGTATCAATGGCAATTATAAGGCTCGGGTATGTATACCCCTCACAAGATTGATGTTAAAACATATGAACCGTGTTGACAAAGTTCTTTACAGTTATTCATACAGGATAAGACCAACAGCGGCGAGTACGAGGATATTGTTGCCAAAGACAGAATGCAAGCGCTCATCGAGGGGCGTACCACAGAAAGAAATTACCGCTCACTGAGTCCAAGAGACCAATCTCGCCTGGCTATCCAGAGGTTGCGACCGATGACTGGCACTTTCAAATATATGCAAGAAGACACGATCGCGAAGACATTCGCAAATCAGAAAAATAGGATCGGAGCGATGATAGGTCACATTGACCGAGAGCTACACAGAACGCCGCGACAATATGTTCCAACGCGGTTTAACAATTTGAAGGAGCCTGTTGACGCGCTTCCGTGGCAGGAGCAAGGGTTGGAAGATAAATGGGATGCGTACATGGACAATGTTGTTGCGGTGGCAAAGAAGAGAGCTGCGGATTTCATGGAACTTCATCTCGACAGTCTCAAAGCTGAATGGGAGTCTTCCAAGAAAACCGAGGTGTCCAAGGACTTCGTTGGCAATGCTCAGGCGAAAGAGAACAGGAAAAAAGAGCTGGAACAGGAACAGAAGGACATGCTGGCTCTCATTAAGAAGGCTGGAAATGAATGGGACAAGGTCAAAGACTGGAAGAAGCCGACAAACTGGAAAGCAAAGGATGAACAGGACCCAGGAGAGGAAGAGGCTGACTAGAAATACCAAGGAGGGCTGGGCCAAGATCAAGTCTGAGAAGGAACGTACATCTTAAGACAGGGGTTGTACTGATTGGTGATGATGAAAGCTTGGCAGTTGGATTGGGGGCTGGTCCTTGAATAGCAACTGCATGTGGCGTTGGGGAATGTTTTGTCAGAGAGTTTGTACTGGAGTCATGACTGTGTTTATCTCACTCGTTTTTTATTTTGGGCAGTCGTGACAGCGTCACCATGCTCTTTCGCCACTCTTTCCTATTCCTCGCCTATCACGGGTCTATCACTGTTCTCTAGTAGAATACTCAAGCTAATGTATTGCTGTAAGCATGACCTATTACCACTGTCTCTCTTACCTCCGTGTGACTTCAGCGACGATTGATGCGACGAGTGATGGGTAGGAAGGAGCCAGCTGTTCCTTGCTTAACGCCACTGTAGCGCTCGGAATGTCTCGGAATGTTCCGAACTAGCCGCATGTTGTGACTACGCCGCAAGTCAGCCCAGAACTCTGCCACGCGCACCTTCCTCAAGTACAGTAATCTCCCGTTATCATCTCCATAGTCTCGTCATAGAAGTTTGATCGCTCCCCAGCATCGCACGCAGTCAACCGCCAAACATTACTCATCACCTTCACTCATATTGTCTGTCACATACTCACACCATCATGAACCAACTCCCACAAGAGCTCATCGAAAGGATCTCTAGCTTTCTGCATAGAGAAGACTTGTGCAGTGTTCTTACTCTAACTAGCAAGTTCCGCTATGCAGCAGAAAGACTCTCTGGGGCTTTTGCTGAATTCGCAGTTACTGAAAGCAACTCAGCCGACTTCCTCACGCGCTTCTCCGGTCATCGCCTCCTCTATCTGAGAGAGGTAACGTTCCGACCAGATGTCTCGGCGACGTACGACTTAAAGGGCAACGACGATGATGACGACGGCAGCGTTGACGATGATGATGATGACGACGTTGATGAAGATGACGATCGGGTATTTTGTCGAGAGAGTGCTGACGAGGTGCGCGAGAGAGACGAGGCTTTCACCCGCCAGATGCAATTCCTGTTCGACATCCTTCAACGAGTCGAGAAGCAGGCCGGAAAATACCACGCTCCGGGTAGGTATCGACTCACGATCTACAACCCGATAAGAAGAACGGAAAACGAAGATGCATGCCCCCATCGCTATATGACCAGCTGGCGCGTCCGGCTACTAGCAAAGGACTTGCCTCCCATCGCGTCCATCCGATCGTTCAGAATCGTCAGTAACGACAGGAAAGGGTACTCGTACTCGTACCCTCCCTGGGACCAATATGCATATACGTATTGCCTTCGATATAATTATTCCGAGATGCAGGAATCGAAGCTCGACCTGCGAGTTCTCATCGACCTAGCGACCAGCATGCCCAATCTAGAATATCTGGGTACCCGAACCGGAGGGTACGAATGGTGCGAAACCCTGGATGAAGAGGAAGATCCGTGTAGTGGACACTACGAGCACGACTGGGCAGGACCGCGACGAGATGCCCGACATGATTTCGCTGCCGCAGTTACCAGCTGTGTCGACAAGCTACCCAAAACGCTGAGGCGAGCTACGCTCGATTTCTTATACCCCTTAAGTCGGGTGACTGACTATGATCACGGAACGGTTTTCCCGGATCTTGTAGGTAGCAACCTTACTCACGATCCTTTCTCGACGAGCCTCGGTATCTTGTGCAACAACCTTCGCCACCTGTAAGTCATATTCATGCATACAAACTAATATGAGACCAGTAAATTAACTTGTACATTCAGGCAACTACGGGCCATGATTGACGAGAGCATCTTCCCCGCACTATCGCCACAAAATCCTGCAACATCACACACTCCCTGGCCACACCTTGAACTACTTGATCTCATGTTTCACAACGCCCGTCCCGATGGCACATGGTATTTCCAAGGCTCCGACGGCCAAGGCGACGTTGCACGCGGTCTCCCTGTCACAGACGATTCCTACCCACCCTATACTCATACGCAGCTCGATGATGAAATGGACGAGTTTTATGAAGATTACATTCGGGCCGGAAGACAGACACGTTGTCATGATAACCAAGAGTTCCGGGTTGCTCCTCATGCCAATCTCATCCTACTGCTCGAACGCTTTGCAAGATCAGCGATACAAATGCCGGCGCTCAAGGAAGCAGTAATATGGTCACCCATACGAGGGCAAGATGTGTACCCGGAGCGGCCGATGGGTAGTCAACGTGACCTAGATGTGATATGGAGTATTGAATACGCTGAACCCTGGTCCTCCTTCAATGCCAGACCAACTCGGCAATTAGAATGGGCGGTAGGAAAATGGCGCCCTGGGAAGGAACTGCACAGCCTTTTCCAGGAAATTGGACGCGCGAAACACGGGGATGAACTTGCGGAGCGCTGGTACCAGGATGACGAATGGGAGGTAGGGTGGTCTTTGTATGAAGTGGAAGGCATCGCGAAGAGTAGGTTTCGCAATTACGGGAAATGCGTTTGAGAAGATGTATGGACGAATGTATAACCACGTTGTAATCCTCCACGAGATATTCATTATAAAGTTTACAAACCGACCAACCTATTAATTAACAATCTGACTAACAAACAACCTAACTAACTAAATTAGAACTTCACAGCCGAACAATCTAACTAACAACCTAACAACCGAACAACCGAGCAACTAAACAAGTGAATAACCTAACAATCGGAGAACCTAAAAGCCTAACTACTCTAACTCTACTCTAACTCTACTCTAACCTAAGATAAACACTCTATAACATAGACACTACAAGACAGGCGCAGAGACGTACCTAACTAACAATCTAACAAACCAACAACCTCTAACCCTACGCTAATCTAACACAAACACAATACAACAAAGCTACCAAAAGACAGGCGCAGAGACGTACGTGGCGTATTTACGCTCTATTTCCCCAAAACGTCTATACCTTCTAAAACTAACTGTATACCTTCTCCCAAGAAGTATCGCGAACAGAAACAAGAAGAAACACCTGATCACGCGTAGAGCTACGACAATTCTACGAGAAAAGTCTCAAGGGCAAGTAAGCTACTAATTACATTGCGGCGATGTGCATGCTTTGGCACGGGCAGCGGCATTAACACTAGCATTAGCACCTCAAACAAAACAAGACGCCTGAGCTAGTTGGCATGTACCAATGTCTCCCCTTCGCCCTTTGGTAAAATCATAAGGAAATTAGAATGCTGACTTTGTGTATATAAGCTCGCAGCGAGGTCCATGTAAAGAAACTTCGCAAGACTACGTAAGATAGCACAAACGTTTACGTACCAACAACCACTCTTTTGTAGCAATCGCGTGGAAAACTCACTCTGAAACTAATAACCTCGTGGTAAATACAGCAACGCCTTCTCCTATCTCTTACACCCTCTAGGCAGTCTTTAACACATTTACCTACGAAAGTTGTGTGATAGACGCATTACTAGCGGATGTCACAACACCAGATTTCCACGTCCACTTCAGTTCACCAAGCACATCACCCCATCATCTCATTCCTTTGCCCGAACAATAAACAATATCATTACAACAATAATTCTACTAACCCTAGAGCCTACATTGGCGCTGAATCGACTACTCTGCGTGGTGTGAACTTGATGTAAGCTGCAGGCTTTACGCACCCCATCACACCATCACCGCACCACCGTCCCTCCCCTCTCTCTCCATTCCCTCTCCTCTCTCCATCCCCCCAACCCCATACCTTACAAACCCATCCCTTACAAACCCCCACCCCATGCCTACCGCATAAAACTCCCAAAATTCAAAAACGTACTCCCACTCGGTTTCTGCGTCGCACTCCTCGGCGTAACCGGCCTAGCCTTGTGGTCCAATTCTTCCTTCGCTTGGACCGTGACGGGTTTGAAGGACATGGGTTGGTATGGCGGACCGCCTTGTTGGGTGGAAGACTGTTGGGAAGACTGTTGTTGTTGTTGGGATTGAGGTTGCGACGACGGCGCATGGCTATAAGATTGGCTAGATTGCGGGTGCCACGGCATACCAGCCGGAGCCCAACCTGTCGAATTTGTATTCGTATTTGTATTCGAAGCCGTGGTATTCCTGAACGAAGTAGGTTGCTCACGAGTATACAATCCATTCGGCTGCTGTGCCGATGCCGAAAACGTAGATAAAAGCGGTTCACTCCGTTTCCTCTGCAAATTCCTGCGTCGACTATCCTGCGCCGACTTCTCCAGCGTCTCAGCAATCCTGCTCGTCTTCGCCGTATCCATGGTAAACCAGCCTGCATCCAGAATCTGCTGGGCTGTAGGCCTATCCGTAGGAACAGGATTGAGAACCCAGCTCAGGAACTTGATTTCCTTCTCCGGAACACCCTTCTCCAGTAGCCTCTCCCAGTGTTGTCCTTCGTGGTGGGAGCGGTCGTGGTAAGGGAGTCTGCAGCCGTCGTAGTAATCCAAGGCGCCAAGACCGAAGTCGTGTGCTATAGCTCGTTCGACGGAACGCTCTTTCTGGCCTTGGCCTGTGTTGCCTTGGAGGAGCTCATCGTAGATGCCGTATTTGTTGAAGGAGGCTTGTGCTTCGAGGAGCTGGCAGTAGATGACGCCCCAGGACCAGATGTCGGCTGGCTGGTTGATCTCGTTGCGGAAGTAGACTTCGGGGGCGCGGTATACGATGGGTTGGACTAGGCCTTTTGCTGGCTCCATGACGATTCCTAGGTCTCCGAGTTTGGCGGTGATGCGGTCGTCGCCGACGGAGGCTTTTTTGTTGGGCTCGTCTTCGAAGCCGCTGAGGAGGATGTTCTGCATCTTTAGGTCTGGATCAAGTTAGCTTTTACTTGTCGTTCTAGTCGTGTGTGTAGAGGCTCACCTGCATACACCAAGCCTCGTTGATGCACATCCCGCAAGCCCATCAACGCCGAGCGCATGATACCCTTGAGTTCCACATCGCTGAACTGGCGCTTCTTGCGCGCATCCCAGAGAGTCGATTGAAGGATCTCGAGCACGATTCGGGGCGGT